ATGATGACGGTACGCGAGCCGTGGCGACGACGAGCCAACAACGGGAGGCGCTCACGGGGCTGGAGCGGCTGGACCTCGACGGCTGCCACGTCCACGAGAAGGGCATGTGCGGGCTCAAGTATCTCGCGAGCCTCAAATACCTCTCCATTCGACAGGTGACCCACTCCTCTTCATACATTTTTATGTGTCATCAATCACCAATCATCAGCGCCTGATCATTTTTTTATCAATTTATTCCTTATAATTTGATATTAACCACTCACACGCGATGAACTTCTGTGTGAAGGTGTCGAGCATTGGCGATTTGTCGACGCTGGCGGGGTGTGGCGGGCTGCGCTACCTCTACCTCGATCAGGACCAGGTGCCGTCGCATCTGCTGCACCACCTCCAGTCCCTCATCCCCAAACTCACCATCCACGTGTCCCCTCCTTCCGCCTGAAGCGACGTCACCAATCCGCATTTGTTGTATTTTTGATAAAGTTTTTACTTTTATTTTAATTGGTTGCGGAAATGAGAAAATTCCCAGTACCTCTGCGCCAATTGGTCGCCTCTCGCTTTTTTCTAACTCCGAGTCCCACAATGCGGAGGGCGACTGGCCCAGTGCAGGGTTCAAGTAGGCCGCTCCGGCGGGGCTTGACACAGACACGGTGGTGCGCTTGACTGTCCCCTTCTTCTCGCCAAGGAGGACGACAGCACAGTAGGACAGCCTTGTGGTGTTGGCCCGCGGATTGAATGCTCTGCTTGCCCTCTACATTCGTTTGAGTCTCAATCGCACGGGGCGGTCAGCGCCCTGTGCGGGACCTGTTGGCCAGGTCCTAAATCGAAAAGCCGCTGCGGTCCTTGCAGCCCACTTCTCCCCGTGGCGGTCTTCACCGGCCAGCATGAGCGGGTCCGAGTATGGCCACCACCGTGCTTTCTTTTTCCAAATCTTCTTTTAGTCACCCAAATTTCAATTCAAGATACAGGCAAGGGGAAGACCACTCCAGGAACTAGTTTGGTTGTGGGTGGTGCGTCGTTGTTCAAGCGCAGGAAGGAAGGGGTGATCTGGAAGCTGCCACCTTGCAAGGTCTTGGCGATGACCTGCCCCTGCACCTGGCTGTTCACCAGCACACATTCGATCTGGGTGCCAGCAGCACACCTGCACAGACAATCAATGCATCGGATGGGGGCGTGGAGTGGTGGTGGCGCAGATGAGTGTGTCTTGAAGACAGCATTGGCAAAAAGGGAGGAATTGCCCGACCTGTTCGAGGAGATGCCGGACCTGCTGCATCAGCTCATCACCATGGGTCACCACGCCGCTGAAGTTGTGTCGCTGTCCAACGTCGTCGACCTGGGCTCAGTGCCGGTGTAAACCGCCGATGAGGACCGACGGCGAGACTTCCTCAGCGCTTGCCACGACAAGGTTGATCATCACCGATTGGAGCTTGAGCGCGCCGATGCCCACCATCTGCATGCTGGTGGCCCTGCCCAAGTCGCCGGCCTGCACCGTGAAGGTCTGCCGCCAGAAAGAGATAAGGTGAGTCCGTGCTGGGGTGTGTGGGTGTGAGCCGTTTGTGTTGAATTCACGACGAACCTGGTTGAGCTGGTTGGTGCCTGGTGAGCCTGATGGCTCCCCAAGAGGTGACCTGCACGGTGCCGCTGGGCGTGTCGTTGCACAGGCGCTGGCTCGTTGTGCTCAGCTTGGCCTCCGCCACGGTAAAGCTGATGCCGCTCAGCGCTTGCACGTTGCCCACCTGTTCGTTGGTTGGTCAGTTAAGAACAGCAACAGCACGACACACACCGCACAGGCCGCCAAAGAAAACCACAGCAAGCCTTACGGTGAGGCCGGCCATCGCACGCCTGCGGCTGACCGTTATTGATCGAAGCTGCTTAGGCGCCGGCCACCTTGCACGGCGAGCGCGCTGCCAGTGGAGGTGTTGGACACTTCCAAGGGGTGGCGTTGGTGGCGGCATTGGGCGAAGCGGTGGCCGAGCCAAGAATGAAGGCCGAGAACCCGCCTCCCAACAGGGCTGGCTGGCATGGGGCCTGGGCGATGCGGCGGGCGACCTGGTCGGAGTTGGGCTTGACGTCGGGGAGCTGGTGGGCGACCAGGTGGGCACAGGGGGCCTTCAGCTTGGCATTACCAAGGGCGTGGGCGAAGCGGCGGGCGACTGGGTCAGGGTCGCGCTCGACGTCGGGGAGCTGGTTGTATACCGGGTGGGCGGCACAGAGGGCATTAGGCTGGGGGTCACCGAGGCCGTGGGCGAAGCCACGGGCCACCAAGTCAGAGTCACAACGTCAGGTAGCTGGTGGGCGACAGGGTGGGCATCACAGAGGGCATCAGGCTTGGAGTCACTGAGGGCGACCGGGTGGGTGTCACAGGATCATCAGGCTGGGCGTCATTGAGGGCGAATCTTAACAAGGAGAGAAGAACGACGGAGGAGGGGGAAGGTGAACGGTGAACGATGAGAGGGAGAGCGTTCTATGCTCGGTGGTCTGAGCGATCCCAACAGGCTGCTGAGAATCTGTCAGCAGCCTGCTCCACCGACATACACCGCTTTATGTGTGCGGTATATGTGATGAAGGTGGCGCTGGGGTCAGACACAAGTCCCGAAAGAGCAACCGCAGAAGAGTTGATGCTAAATAGGTAAATGAGCTCTTTGTTGTTGTTGTGCAACACAACGCAGTTGCTCCACTGTAAAGCCGCGAAAAGGCTCCAAACAACAACGATCATCTGCTCATCCCACATCCTCTCCTCTATAACCCTTGCTTCCTCCTCCATGCTCTAGCTCCGATGACGCGCGAACCTGAGACCTGAGCTCGCCTGACCAGCGACCACGCCGCTCTTCCCTTGTTACACAAAAAGTCACTATCCAAAACGCGCAACTGGGCTTAAAAAAAAAGACCTTTCGAAAAGCTCATTAGACCCTATTAATGCACGGACATAAAAACCGATTGGCCCCGACAGTAAGCCCATTCCTTCTGGTTGGTGCATTTTGGGCCCATTAAAGTTAACTTTAAAACTGGTGCTCCGTAATTATAGTATTGGGAGATGGCCTGGAGATAGAAGGTGAAGCCCGAGCCAGTTTGCAGCTAAACCGGTGCCTTCACCGCAGGCGTGGTCACAGAGTTAAGTGCAAGCCACCTTGTCAGCTAAACCGGCCTCTTCACTGCACCATTCTTCCCCATAACTCTCTGGCCTGCGCTCCCACCCATTGCGCACCACCACAGCCGCTCAACCCACCACCATCCAGTGCCCCACACCAGTCGCTTCTGTTGGTAAACAGAATGGTGACCAACCTGATACTCTCAACATTGCTCTTGTTGCTTCTCAGCGCAGTGGCTCCCGGATCCTGCACCACCTGTACCTACACCCTCCTGAGATCTTCTATGTCTTCCGCACCTCTTTGCTGCAGCTTACGATCTTCTTGTTGTTCATCATCGGCCCAAAGACACCGTTTGCCCCTCTGGGTGCTCCTTCACCAGCATCTACTCCGCTATGAACGCGGCCCAGGATGGAGACATCATCGACCTCCCAGCCCCCACCTATAACATGGTTGGGTCGCCGAATATTCAGCACTCGTTCACACTGAGGTGCCCAAATCCCTCACCTATGCTCATTGCTGTTCATTACTTATTTCGTCATGGTGGTGGTGGTTCTCCATACTACAGAGCTGGCCCAGCAGGCGTAGAGTTCCAGGGAGGCTGGGGTTGGACGGTGAGCAACGGCACACTCACGCTGGACGGGTCCTTCCGGTTCAACAATACGAAAGGTGACAAACTCCACCTGTTATTTTAAAACACTCACAAGATGACCATTGTCAGTCAGCTGATATTTCTCCATTACAGTCATCCGCGTCAATTCCAACGCTGCTGTGAACGCCTTGGGCGACCTGGCGATGTTGTCGGTCGGGGGCTCGACGATGCTCCACCTGGAAGGGTTGTGGCACAGCCACGGCACGCTGTCCATCTCAGTCAACAATCCGGGTTCAAACAGTACGTGTTCTTGTGCCGTTTGCTCTTTGACTGGACTGTTTGCTGACCCACCTTCATCGTCACATACTCACTACCGCACGTACAAAGCCTTGTTCCTCTATGGAGGAAGTACATTCATAACGGACAGTCAAGTAACGCTTGAGGGTGTTGGTCCAAATGTTGGAAATGCTGCCTGGACTGGTAAGTTCTGCTGTCTTGGTTCAGACCTACGGCTCAACTGGTCTGGTACAGACTACTGACGCCGGCCTCCCACACATGCAGAGCCTCTCAATTTGGCTGGGACCTGGGAGCAGAATGGCCCACTCACCATCAGCGTTCAGGATGGCATTGGTTGGCCCAATTCTTCCGCTTAGTTTCTCTGTCCTTGTCCTACTACTGACCCTGCAGGGTGGGGGTGCACACAGCCGGAATGCGGACCGCAGGGGGCACTTGGAAGCAAAACGGAGTTGTGACAGCCTACGCCACCAACACCTCTCAAGCCATCAAACTCACCCTATCGGGCGTTTGGGAACAAATGGGGCCGGTCAACATCCACCTCGCCCAAGGCTCCACTGGTACGTTGGCAAACCGTTGTGGTGGCGACACAAGACTTCGTCACCAGCGCTTACACCAATCATGTTGCGGGGGGCGAGCAGGAGTGCTTGCCATGAGAGACCAACACACCACCTGGCGGCAACAGAATTCCGTCTTGATCGCCGCCGCCGCTGACTCTCACTACGACAGTACAACACTCCTTGCCCTATATATATAGAAATATATATATATATATGTATTATATGTGTATATTGTTCTGACACCTTAGGCAGCTGGTGTGCTCATGGCCGGAGCGTCTCCGGGCGGCGGGTGGATGCAGGGCGGAGAGCTCACTATCAGAGCCGCCCGAGGTGCTCCTCCTGCTTCGACCAGCTTGTTGCCACTCCCCCCCCCATCTCACCTTTTGTTGTGTAGGCGTGGTGATTGGATCAGCCGCTTGGGTGACTGTCTCACCTCCTGCGTGGTGGAA